CCGGGTTGCCATAGTTTCAGTATATGAATCAACTGGTAGTAAGGTAAAGACTAGCTGTAAATAGTTTTATATACTGTATATATTTTAACCCTCCTCTTTGTTCTCCAAATATGAAAAAATGTGAATACAAAAATCTCATTAAAACAACAACAGCAGATCTCTGGTATTCTGTGTACATACTGTAGTCACATCTAGTTCCACTACACACTGTCTAGTTGCAGTCTCCACATCAGCACCCAGCTTATTCCTTTATTTTGCCTGTGAATCACTAAATCCCTTTCAACTCTCCATAAATCGATCTCCCCGCTTATCCCATCTTTCATTCCACCAAGATCCTCCTTTCCTTCATTAAGAAGCGACCTGTCCTTGTCTCCTTTCATTTCACATGCACAGAAATCCAATCTCCATCCAATTGTCTGTATCTGTGAAATATATTGCTGCTGTTAGATGATGGAAAAAGCAAATATTGTGTGTATTTTTAAAATGGGTTTGAGCAACGAAGTTTCGGTCTGGAGTTGTCAAAGTCAGTTCAGTCTGGAAAATCATGTGTTGTAATTTTATTAATTGCCTTTTAATTCTAATTTTGCAGGGAAATTTTAGCTTCTTCAAGTACATAATTTTGTTTTGGATCTTTCTTTTTTCTGTGTATTTTTTAAATTTTTTAATGAGAGTTTTTGTTAGGTTAACTTTTTAAAATGTATTAAAAAATCTTCATGACTTTGACTTGACTTTGAGTCAAATCTGCTAAATGTAGAAACCATTTAGCAGTGAATTTCCCTCAACTAAGGTACACGGTTCATATTTTATGTTTTTTAGACTTAAAATTTTTTCATTCTAATTTGTCACAGTTTATATTGCTTGTATGAGTTACATTTGGCCCCTCTAAGTAAGATTTTGATGTAAATATGATTCAGACTGTGCAAAAAGATTTAATGGCTTGCAAAGTTGTACATTTTTATGTATAATTTGTTTTATCCAAAATTCTTCCTATAGGATCGCTTATCTAAAACTTGTGGTATAATGCTAGTTTAAAAAGACCTGAACTATATGTTGTAGTTATACTTTTTTTTCTGTCTTTTTTGTCAACCCTATTTCTCTGAAGTTTATTCAAAGGTTTAAATCGTAATGAATATCAAAGCACATTAAAATAGTAACCAGGAAGCTAAAGATATAGCCTTTAAACAGAGAAATTATGATCCAAATTGATATGATTGTTTTGGACTGTCCACATCGTGTTAATTTAAACATTCAGTGATTATATGGTGAGTTATAACGGTTAGGTCCATTTTTAAAATACAAGCCCTGACCACATTTTGTTCGAATAATCATGAGCAGCCCTTTTCTGGCATTATTTTGTTTTCATCTTACATTGAAGCTATGGAGCTGCTTTAGTTTGGCTGCAGATTAGTACTGTGTGGACCCAATGCAGCATGTAGTCATAAAAGTCTCCTTCTGGTTGAGAAGAGAACCTTAATGGTCATGCTGAACTAAAGTGTGAAACTCTAAGAAATTATGCAAAGAAAATGTGAAATGTAAAAATGTAACCAAGACACCATGGGTATTTTTAGTGTTACCTCTCAAAAAACCTGCTGGTGCATAAATTGAACTGCTCCATCATAAAAAGAACTTGACTGGATTTGAATTTGTCTAATACAAATGTGATCTTTTCTTACTTAAATAATGACCACTATCAATAAACACATCAGACCAGCACAAATTTGAGTGACCATCTACTGTTGCATGTTATATTTACTGGCAAAATATACAAACCAGCAGCTGTTTGCACCATACAAATTAAATAAGAACATCTTCAAAAGCCTAATCCTATAACAAACAATTGCTCCAACTTAAACACAGATTTGATTTTTAATTACAGCTGCAGTCCCAGAGTTATTCGAGCCTTGCATGAAAAGTATTTCTGTACTAAAATTAAACTTTCCTTACCTCACTTAGTAGAGCACATTTTGGTCAGGCAAGTAGGATGGTCACTCTCATCTCTTCCTGGAAGTCCTCTAAAATAAGCTTTAGTTCACTTTGAGATGTGGTTAGGATCAGTGTCCTTTTTTAAAGATTAAGTGACACACACAACATAGATCAATACTCAAACGTTACCCAGCACTGTTATAGGTATCTTGCACTTTATGTTTTAAAATTTTTACAAATACCTCAAATGATTTCCTTCTCATGAAGTTATAAACATTTATTTTTTAATTTATTGCTCCACAAGCTGAAAACCCAAAACTGGTAGTTCTTGTGCCCGCTGTACAGTATATGTCTAGGGTTTCAGGCATTGAGTCCTACAGCTTCACAATGGAAACTGTGAATCCCTACTGTTACCAGATTGTGATACAAGACTTTCTCTTTTGTCACTCAAAGGGATAACTTACTCTTCTCACTACTGAGCCACTGTTTTTTTTTTTTTTTTGAAACAACTTTACACGATTCTTCCAATTCTATTTCCTATGTACTTAATTCAAAGTATCTCAGTTTTATCATTTACTGGTTTGTATAAGGCACTGATGCTTTCTCTGAAATTTCTAACACTTTTCTTGACCTGTGATATAAAACAAGGGTAGGGTAGGGGTCTGTTGTACAAATAACTTTCATACTAAAAGTTTGGAATAGTGAGAAATTCTGAAATTTGTGTAACAAAAATTTGTGTACAGAAAGTGTCTAATGTACATCTAACCCACACCTAAGCTTCATACATCCCGATTTAGGTGTATTAGTAGATTTCAGTTCATTCATTAATCCTTCACATGATTTTAATTTCCTTGTACCTAAATAAATAAGCAAATCAGTATTAATACCCAGAAGAAATACTGTCAAGCACAGAGAGACTTTGTTAACACACCTCAGGGATGAACGTCAGAACGAAACAACCTTTTGAATGATTACTAGCTGAAAATGATAAAAGGCATATTTTGTAAGGATAAAATAAAAACAAAGTAAGAAAAATAAATAGTCTGTCCGTAATTTTGTTCCACATTGCTTTGCATTACACCAGAGGTGTCACTAGGTTTTAAGTATGGGGGTGGGGGGGCTTAGGCCCCAGGTAATGCAAAGGATGTAAGTGAATGTAGCAAGCACAACCACTAACTGGGCAGATTTAACAGAAATACTTTACTGTATACATGTTTTAGGCAACCATTAGATTTTCAGTACAGTACAACAACAAATACAGCAATTTTCGTTTGTCTCTTAGCAACCCCTTCAGCCAGACCCTTCAGAATACAGTATCTCAATAAACAATAAATAAAATAATAGTTGATCAACACAGATACTAATACCATGGCAATACAGGACTTTCCAAAAAAAAAAAAACAACAAAGAACAACCATCGTGCAAAAAGCTTGCTTGAAATCTGTTCAGTGACATGATCACACATTAAACACAACTATTGAATGAAATGCATTCTATTCATAAAAGCAAATTAATTCAAAGATAGTGACCTTATTGTGGTATGAATGCAGTCATAGCTCGGATTACTTTTTGAAATTGGCTTCTCACTTAATAGTCCAATTAAAAGAGGCTATTTGGAGCAGTTTACTGTATATTATATTACAATCTGCCTTATATATCAGAGCAACTCATCCTATTCTGTTGTCCTTTGTGGGCTGTGGGGTGGCTCAGTGACGACTGTTAAATACAGGACATGTCAATCAGCTTGAAAGACTTCAGCCACACAGAGAAAAGTGAGAAGGTGAACCGACACTGGTGACACACAGTTCCTCTAAGTTCCTCCTTGTGAAGCTGATGAATTTAGGTAATCCATTCATCATGTCCTTGCAGATCAGATCTCTGAAGACTCCCTGCTTATTTTCCAATTTGTTATGTCCTCCTGCAATACCAAGGCAGCTGTTCTTTCACCTTTTCACAGCAACACTGTACTGTATCTATGCTGCCTTGAACATATATCTGATGCAACTATAGTCCCTGACTGGTTGCAACTCAACACTTTTATAAATGTGTGCCGTGTTGCTGTTTTGTGTTACCTTCTAATGTACATATACATTTTGGAATTTACAGTAGCAGGTATAAACAATTAGGTGAAACCATATTCTACAGTTGACAATGATGTTCGTGTCTTCCTGGTCACACTGAGATTGAATGACCCAATAAAAATGCAAATAATTTCCCAATGCTTAAGTGCAATTAAAATGCAGTGCATTCACGCTGAAAGCCAGCAATCCAGTCAACCTTCTTCAAGCAAGGGAGTGCCAACTTCCTCTACTGCACTTGCAAAAAAGCAGAATTTGTTAAGGGCATAGTTGACAAATATGTCAAATTTTGATGTTTGAATGCTCATTCAGTCCGCTATATTGCTGTACTTTATAACTGTCCAATTTACTTACAAACCCATCACTAACCAGATGTCAGCTAATTTCTCAAAGCCTATAATGGTAGAATAAAAAAAATATTGTATTCAATGTACAACCTGATGAACAATAAAATCATCTATAGGAAATAAAAAAAACTGGGTTCAGAATAATATGTTTTGAAAGTAAGATTATAACACAGACCATGACCTGCTATAATAGTAGGGCAAATACAGAAAATGAGATGAAATGACAGGAAGAAGGATCGAGACAAAGCTTCCCAGAGCATGTGAGTATTTATAGATCAGAAATAGACAGAACCTGTGCCTGGCAGCAGCAGTGTACTGCTTGTTGCTGATGTCTTTATAAACATACATATCTCTGACTCAATGAGGAACATTAGGAGGAGAGATGTTCTGGATACTGAAGGTAAAGAGGAGCACAAACACCATTATAATGAGGAAGATAGATATGCATGTCTGGAACAAAATATATCAGCGTATCGAAGAGAAAACGAGATTAAAAATAACACCATTCATAATTAGGCCATTGAGATCTTCCAAGATCTGAAGTCGGACCATATCTATCTGCATTCACAGCTCGCCTACTCTCTCTCTCTGTGTCTCTGTCTCCCTCTCTCTCTATGTCTCTCTGCCCGTGCACGCGCGCGCGCGTCAGGGTGATTGAGCGCAGCTCCTAAGGCGCGCGCCTCACTCCGCTGCTGGAAGCAGAGAGCGCACGGAGCAACAGCCACGAGAAATAACTGAACACAGCTTGCTAGCTGCGTGAAGCTGACACCCCACCCACGTCAAAAAACTCTGCAAATAGACTGAATGGTTAGTGCAACGTTAGTGCAGATTTGTGCAGAAAAAAATATTGTTTGTGCTACTTTTGTTTAAGAGATATTAAAGATGATTTTTTAGGTCATCCAGAGGTCACCATCCCCCCATTAAACTCCAATTTGAACCAAAGTGGTCTCCTTTTTTAGTGCTTCGTTTGTGCTTATTTGTGCAGTTAAAATGGTCATTTGTGCTGTTTTAGTTTTTAAGATATAATCATTTTAATTTTTGGCTGATGACATCACCATCCCCCAATCAAGCTCCGATTTGATCCAAAGTGGTCTCATTTTTTAGTGCTTCGTTTGTGCTGATTTGTGCAGTTAAAACCAACATTTGTACTGCTTTACTTTTTAAGATATAATCATTTTAATTTTTTGGCTGATGACGTCACCATCCCCCCATCAAGCTCTGATTTGATCCAAAGTGGTCTCATTTTTTAGTGCTTCGTTTGTGCTGATTTGTGCAGTTAAAACCAACATTTGTACTGCTTTACTTTTTAAGATATAATCATTTTAATTTTTTGGCTGATGACGTCACCATCCCCCCATCAAGCTCCGATTTGATCCAAAGTGGTCTCATTTTTTAGTGCTTCGTTTGTGCTGATTTGTGCAGTTAAAACCAACATTTGTACTGCTTTACTTTTTAAGATATAATCATTTTAATTTTTTGGCTGATGACGTCACCATCCCCCCATCAAGCTCTGATTTGATCCAAAGTGGTCTCCTTTTTTAGTGCTTCGTTTGTGCTTATTTGTGCAGTTAAAATGGTCATCTGTGCTGTTTTAGTTTTTAAGATATAATCATTTTAATTTTTGGCTGATGACATCACCATCCCCCCATCAAGCTCCGATTTGATCCAAAGTGGTCTCATTTTTTAGTGCTTCGTTTGTGCTGATTTGTGCAGTTAAAACCAACATTTGTACGGCTTTACTTTTTAAGATATAATCATTTTAATTTTTTGGCTGATGACGTCACCATCCCCCCCATCAAGCTCCGATTTGATCCAAAGTGGTCTCATTTTTTAGTGCTTCGTTTGTGCTGATTTGTGCAGTTAAAACCAACATTTGTACTGCTTTACTTTTTAAGATATAATCATTTTAATTTTTTGGCTGATGACGTCACCATCCCCCCATCAAGCTCCGATTTGATCCAAAGTGGTCTCATTTTTTAGTGCTTCGTTTGTGCTGACTTGTGCAGTTAAAACAAACATTTGTGCTGCTTTACTTTTTAAGATATAATCATTTTAATTTTTTGGTTGATGACGTCACCATCCCCCCATCAAGCTCCGATTTGATCCAAAGTGGTCTGAGTCACCTATGCATGTCAGTGGATGTTTCAAGTGTGTAACTGATTACATGTAAGTTTATTATGCCTTGTGTGTTGTAAAATTTCCTTATATAACCTCTGTTTAACTGTGTTATTTTGTAGCTGCAGCTTTATTTTGTAGCTGCAGCTTTAGTAATTTACTTTTGTCCCAGACTAAATTACTGACAAGAATTTACAGGATAAAAAGCGGCCTGAAACAAAAACAGCAGCAGGTGAAATTAGTTGTAGATGTGTAATAAATGTAGTCGGTTGTGATCATCACCTGCAAGTATAGAGAATATAATTTGAATCGGACATGCAAGCAGCACAAATGACCGTTTTAACTGCACAAATCAGCACAAACGAAGTACTAAAAAATGAGACCACTTTGGATCAAATTGGAGCTTGATGGGGGGATGGTGATGTCATCAGCCAAAAAATTAAAATTATTATATCTTAAAAAGTAAAGCAGCACAAATGTTTGATTTTAACGGCACAAATCAGCACAAACGAAGCACTAAAAAATGAGACCACTTTGGATCAAATCGGAGCTTGATGGGGGGGATGGTGACGTTATCAGCCAAAAATTAAAATGATTATATCTTAAAAACTAAAATAGCACAAATGACGGTTTTAACTGCACAAATCAGCACAAACGAAGCACTAAAAAATGAGACCACTTTGGATCAAATCGGAGCTTGATGGGGGGATGGTGACGTCATCAGCCAAAAAATTAAAATTATTATATCTTAAAAAGTAAAGCAGCACAAATGTTGGTTTTAACGGCACAAATCAGCACAAACGAAGCACTAAAAAATGAGACCACTTTGGATCAAATCGGAGCTTGATGGGGGGATGGTGACGTTATCAGCCAAAAATTAAAATGATTATATCTTAAAAACTAAAATAGCACAAATGACCGTTTTAACTGCACAAATCAGCACAAACGAAGCACTAAAAAATGAGACCACTTTGGTTCAAATTGGAGTTTAATGGGGGGATGGTGACCTCTGGATGACCTAAAAAATAATCTTTAATATCTCTTAAACAAAAGTAGCACAAACAATATTTTTTTCTGCACAAATCTGCACTAACGTTGCACTAACCATTCAGTCTATTTGCAGAGTTTTTTGACGTGGGTGGGGTGTCAGCTTCACGCAGCTCAGCTTGCTTTATCTGTATGGCACTTCAAATATGACTTGTTAACGGTAGTGTTTTCAAAGCCATCTTTTTAAAAGCGAGAAATTCAGAAAGTTATATATTTTTTCTTAAGATAAGAAGCACTAATCTGCCAACTGCTTATCACAGTTCCACATACCGGCGCGTACTGGGAATATGAAGCCGAAAAGCCGCGGCCAAAGCTTGTCGGACTCCAGGGAGCTGGATGGATCCTATGATCAGCTTACGGGTGAGTGAACCCCACCTTTAATTTTGGCATTTTGATGTCCGGGAAAAGATTCAATAAAGCTAAATACCTGATAGGCTGGACTTAGTTTTTTCTTTCTTTTTTTTTTTCCCCCAAGAACTTAATTTTTATTTATTTTCTTTTTTTATTTTCAAAACCCGTTCTACAATCATTTATCAGTTTTGAGTTTTAGGCAAATTCTTTTTATTTGTTTATTTTTTTTTTTTATCAGACTTAAAATAGTCGCTTCCGTGATGACAACATCCCCTCTTAATGTTTTTGTTTTCTTACCCTCTCAGTATTTCTTCCCTCAAATAAACCGAAAAGAAAGAAAGAAAGAAAAAAGCTCAAAAACTATATTTAGCTTTTTTTATAAGAAACTCAATATTGAATCTTATTTCTCAGTTGCATGGGATTGTGTGAAATGTTGATAAGTGATGATTTTTGTTGAACAATTTGATTTTAAAAGTGATTTCTGTTGGCTTGGCTCAGTTAAGGGAGACCACATTTTATTTGCATCACTGTGAAAAGCGCTCTTCGTTGAAAATGGACTAAACCTAAAAAAAAAAAAACCGCAACTCTGAGCACACTCTGCTGCTTTATTTGTGAGTTTCCTCTAAGAGAAAAGTCCTTGAGAATTTCCTCTCGGTCATCATTGAATTTATCAAACAGAAAAACAGTGCATGATTTCATGTTGTATCTCAAAACATCTGATCTTAGCTGATGTTCAATTAAACCCTAATGCACTACTAAAACGATCTAGAAACAAGTCAACATTTCTTAAATTAAGAGTATTTATCCTTAATTTGAGTAGGTATATAAGATGATTTGCTAAAGGAATGAGATTTTCTACTGTTGAAAAAAGATAATTAGATAGTATGCACTTGAAATAGACCAATGCAATAATTATTTCTTATTCTAAATGTAAATTGTATTGTTCCATTGACAAAGATTCTCATTTACCTCCTCAATTAAAGAACAAGTGCACTTATTTTAAGAAAAACAAAAACAAAAAAAAACTAATTTAGACTTAGATTTTTCCAGTGTGGTGCTCATACGCACTCTCTTTCTTGCTCAAATGTCAGATTTCTGAATTAAAACTTTGTTTGATGTCCTCTATGTTATAAGAAATGAGAGAAAGCTGGCCTATAACCAATTAAACTTACCTCCTCCCCTGGTAGTAGCTTGTCAAGGCAAGTAGTTGTGAATAATTGTGCAGATTCTCTGTATAAAGGATTTTTCCAACATAGGTGTTCATTGTTTATTTTTCTTTTGTATCAGGTTTAAAACTAGTTTTACTGCAGTGGAATAATTTTACAACATACAATCTAAACTGCTTGTATGAAGAGGGGTGTACAACTCAGAAAAAGTATTTTCTAACCCTAAAGATGAAAAACTACAGGCTCAACTATACGCTTTTTGGGATACCATCTTTGGAATTAAGAAAACTGGCTACATCTTTCTTAAAGATGTCTTTTAGGGAGTGATATACATAAGGCAGCAAATTAAACAAGTGTGATCTCTTATAAGGCAAATATAAGGTTCTGAAAGAGCTTTAAAATTTATTAATTGTGACCACTACACAGTTGGATCAAATCCCTCCAAAACAGCAGTTCTTGTGGAATTTGCTATGATCAGTCATTACAGTAATCAAGTGCTGTAAAATGAAATGATCTCGGTAAGCAAAAAAAAGGGTGATTGGAACAAATCCTGGCCCATGTGGTTCAAACCAACAAAGAAGCTGCTGTAGCTCTTTGTAAGGTCTTGTAAAGTTGTTCACACCGTCCCCTGTCCTGACCTGAAACAAGCAATGGACAAACAAGCATCAAAAGTTGTCCATGAAGCATTGGAAATATGGTCTCGATCTAAACTATGTCTCATGAATAGCATTGGGATGCAGTCAAGGGATGAAGGCAAGTCCTTCAGTTCAGCCATCTCTGGCCTTTTGTAGGAATTTCCTGAGATATTATTGGGACTGGGATGTTTCATCTTTATTGTAACTCTGATACCCTCTACATCTCTGCTTCCTTCCTTGTACTTAATGTACAGTCTTTGTATACTGGTTTTGAGGTGGAATTCAAGGTGCACAGTGAGTAGCTTTCGTGTATTAACATCAGTGGCCTGAATGTCCAACTTTGGCCATGTTAATACCCCAGCAGGGTTTCTATTACTGGCAAGACATAGCCGTTGATTCATTTAAGCTGACATTTTAGGATTTTTAGGACTTGTTGCAGGTATTTGGCTGCTGCTGTTTTTCTTGTGGACCCTTGGTTGCCATTTGCATGTGGTATTTCACTGTACTTGTAGCTCTCTTCTACATCTGCTATTCTCCCTTCTGGGAGTGTGATCCCCTCTGTCACCATCCGGCTGCATTTCTCCAGCCCAGATGACATTCCAGTGTCCCTGCTGTAGATTCTGGTAGTGGGGATCAGCGACTTAATGTCTCGCACACTCTTAGCATACTGCTTGATGTCATCCATGTACAGGTGGTGGCCGATAGTGGTCCCATTTCTGAGTCGGTATCCATAGTCTGTCTGTCTCTCGGTGGGTTTGTGGGTTGGTCATATGCATATATTTATATGTACACAGATGCATCATTTTGACCTTGTGTGGATTTAAACTAATCCACAACAAAAGCAATTATACTTGTATGTTGTGTAATCACTCCAGTCTGGGAAAAAGTGGAAATGAAACTCACTCCCATGTCACACATATGTCATATGTAAAGAGACTGTAAGCCTAAAAAGGTTGTTATGCAACTATTGCAGTTGTTCCCAAACATTTCCTGGTGGTCCCCATCTGATTTAAAAGAAAGTTTTACCCCCCCCCCCCCCCCCCCCCCCCCCCCCCCCCCCCCCACGCTGATTAATCTTTTTGACAGTTGAACAAAGAAAAAATCAGCTGCAGTAAACTATAATGCAATCTGCAATCTCCTTCAAATCACAAAACTACCACTTTAGGTTTGACAGTTTATTTCACAGGGTAACAGTTGTCAGCATATTTAAAGAGATTACAGCCATTATGTTTTAAACCTGAGCTACTTAGAAGAATACTCCCACCTCTTCTTATTCCAGGGTGCTTTGTAGTCGGTCAACCTTGTGTAAGTGTTCACATAAAGTGATATTGCTTTTGCAAAAGTTAACCAATGTGCAAGAAAGAGCAGCACTAAGTTGCTCACTGTGCTGGAGCAATTTAGCTCTTGCAGAGTTAATGACTTTTTTAAAGATGTGAATAGCATGGCTGATTCATCTTTGGAAGACACTATCAAGACTCCAGCATGCTTATCCCCAATGGTTTGCATGGTTATTTAGATGATATGTTATTATGTGATAAGTTGAGATCATGAAGATGAGGTGCAGATTAAGATGTGGGAAATATTTTTATGAGTGGCATTTTTAGATTATCAGTGTAGGGTACTACAAAGTGTCTCTATAGCGGCTGTTTTTACAAGCTTGTTATTGACATGACACCAACTGCAAGATACTCCACCTACTAGAAATGCAAGCCAGCGATAAGAAAGCTCTGACAAAAGTCAATAGTTTAAAGTGAAGCACATTACTGGAGGATTTTAATGGGGCATTTTTCTGATATAATGGGTAGAAATGATAAACAAGCAAATCAATGTGAAGTGTGTGTTAAAGGTAAATTTGCCCTACAGGGAGCCATACAAAAGAGCTAATACTGGGTTAGAGTTGGTTTATACAGAGCTGAATTCAGAGTCTAGAGAGGGCTACAGATATGTGCTGTCACTTACTGATGACTTCACCAGTGCAGTTTCATGTATTTCCTAAAATACAAGAGTAACACTGTGCAGGCAACAAAAACATGTATTGCAGACACAGCACCCTTTGGCAAGGTGAAATGTATATGATCTGATCATGTCACCTAAGAATGGCATCAGACATGAAACATCAGCACCATATTCGGCACAATAAAAAGCCGAGCAAAAGTGGCATACACTTTTTGACATTGCGAGATGTATGCTAATGGGGAGCAATTTACATGTTTTAAACAACAGCTACAACTTATACCTAAGAATTATCTCAGGTCTTCCGTAATAAATGTTACCTGCCCTCCACCTCAAAAATGCGGGAGTTGCAGAGAGTCTAAATTTCAGAATTTTCCGGCGGAGGATACTCCCGGACCATCCTATGCCGTGCTTAGCCTAAGATGTAATACACCAAGGTGTACACCCTATGAAATATTCCTAACTAAAAGCCTGTTTCAGCACAAGTGGCCTGAACTGTGCTTTTATTTTCACAGGCCAGTAAGTGGAAGACTTGTGTAAATTGACGGCCATATTGTTTGTCTCTTGTTATGGTGAATAAAACTCCAAGTATAAGTGAGTTGCTTGTTGCTGCCCCTCCTCTCTTAGAACCAAAAAGTAAGTATTGTGTGATGTTCTCATCTTCTTTGCTGAAAAAGAATCCTGCTGAGCAACTGGTCCAGCTGCTGCATAGTTATTGCTGCTAACAGGTTATCGTCCCAGCTACACACAAAGACTCAAGCAAAGAGTACCACAAGTGTACATCAACCACAGACAAAAATTCGGAAAGTACTGCGTGTCCTGTGAGGATCAGCACACATAAAAATAGCACCATAAGCAGAAGAGTGACAACTGGTCTAGCTTCTTTGATGACAATAAGCTTTTTATTAGTTGTTGTTTTTTTTTGTTTGTTTTTTTAAAACAAATTCCTATGTAAGCCATGCTTTCCTACTGCAAAATTCTGTGAATGTTGTCAGAGGAAATTCCTGCAGGGGAGGGCTGTTTCACTTTGGGACAAATCGAAACCACTAATTGGTCAATTAGCGACAAGCCTCCAGGAATAATTGACAGGTGGTATCGCATCAAATCTGACCTAACCACACAATTATTTGGCAGGAGAGGCAAGATCATTTTATTTGTACTGTATAACAAATTTCAGTGACAAGAGAATTCAAACTGTACATGAGAAAAAGGAAAAGTACATGCGGTGGCAGAAAGGCAGAAAAAAAGAAAAAAA